CTCTCAAACCCCTAATTTTTCACGTGTTATGCCTTCAAAATTGTACATATACATGTAGATATAAATTACGATTTTATGCATATAAAATGTTCTTTATTAACAATTATCGATCTAACCTATATTTTTTAGGTAACAAACAAGGTAGCTGTACAACAGGTTAAAAGCAACATGGAAATCGTGGAAATTAGTCAATCTCAACTCATATCTCACAAAGATTCTAAACAGAAGAGTTTTTTTGTTAGAAGGATCTGCTCCCGGAGATAGGTAGCGTTGACCCTCGTGCGGGAATTCCAAGCCCATGGTTGATAGTCGAGAGCAATCGCAGCATTTGGTCCATACGCACAGCAAACGATTCAATAACTTCCACAAATTTAAACAAATGATCATAATTTATAAATTTAAATTTGAATCAAAACTTAATCGAGCATTCCCATTTAGATATTTATTTTTTCTTTATCTTTAAATCAAATGCCTATTTCTAATTATCATATCTTCTCATCAAGCCACACACTAAAGAATAAAATATTTAAATTTGTTTTTGGCGAAAACGATTTGCGTGCCTTATAAGGTGTCGTTTAAAGTAGCGTTTGATATTTGTCTCGTAATTACAATTAGCACATTTAAAATCTTTAGATTCAGTATGCGTTAGAAGGTGTTCTCTAAAGTCGGTTTTACGATTTGTCTCGTAATCACAATTGGCACATTTAAACTCTTTAGAAATTTTATGTTTTAAAAGATGTCGTTTCAAATTGCTTTTATCGTTTGTCCAATAATCACAATCAGCACATTTGAAGTATTTAGAGTCGGTGTGTTTTAAAAAGTGTCGTTTATAGTAAATTTTGTTATTTGTTTTGTAATCACAATTGGCACATTTAAAAACTTTGGAATCGGAATGTTTTAAAAGGTGATCTTTAAAATAATATTTGTTACTTGTCTCGTAATCACAATCGGTACATTTAAAATCTTTAGATTCGGTATGATTTAAAAGGTGTTGTTTAAAATAATATTTGTTATTTGTCTCGTAATCACAATGAGCACATTTAAGATCTTTAGAATCGGTATGATTTAAAACGTGTTTTTTAAAATAATGTTTGTTATTTGTCTTGTAATCACAATTAGCACATTTAAGGTCTTTAGAATCGATATGTTTTAAAAGGTGTCGTTTAAGATATTTTTCATTCTTTGTTGCATAATGACAATGAGCACATTTAAAATCTTGAGAGTCAGTATGTTTTAAAAGGTGGTGTTTAAATGAATATTTGTTATTTGTCTCATAATCACAATCAGCACATTTAAAATCTTTGGAATCGGAATGTTTTAAAAGGTGGCCCTTAAGATTTCTTTTAATGTTTGTTCCAAAATCACAATGAGCACATTTAAAACCTTTAAAATCGGTATGATTTAAAAGATGTTGTTTAAAATAATATTTGTTATTTGTCTCGTAGTCACAATGAGCACATTTAAAATCTTTAGAATCAGTATGATTTAAAAGGTGTTTTTTAAAATAATATTTGTCATTCGTCTTGTAATCACAATTAGCACATTTAAAGTCTTTAGAATCAATGTGTTTTAAAAGGTGTCTTTTAAGATATTGTTCATTATTTGTTGCATAATCACAATGAGCACATTTAAAATCTTGAGAATCAGTATGTTTTAAAAGGTGGTGTTTAAAACAATATTTGTTATTTGTTTCGTAATCACAATTAGTACATTTAAGATCTTTAGAATCAGTATGTTTTAAAAGGTGTCGTTTCAAGTTGCATTTGTCTTTTGTCTCATAATCACAATCGGCACATTTAAAATATTTAGAGTCTGTATGTTTTAATTGGTGTCGTTTAAAGTAGTTTCTGTTATTTGTCTTGTAATCACAATCGCCACATTTAAAATCTTTAGAATCAGTATGTTTTAAAAGGTGTCCCTTAAGATTTCGTTTAATATTTGTTCCATAATCACAATGAACACATTTAAAATCTTTAGAATCTGTATGTTTTAAAAGGTGTCGTTTGAAATAGCTTTTGTTATTGGTCTTGTAATCACAAGTAGCACATTTCAACTCCTTATGTTTCAAAAGGTGTCTGCTAAAGAAGGATTTACTGTCGGTCTTGTAATCACAATCAGCACATTGAAGCAGATTACCTTGGTGTTTTAAGAAGTGTCCATAATCACAATGAGCACCTTTTGAAACATTACTCTTTAAAACATATTGTTTAACTTGCAACTTACTATCGTTAGATATTTCAGTTTTAATATTCCATCCACAATCAGTTTGTTGTAGTTCTTCATTATCAAGCGATTTAGAGCACTGTGCAGTAATGGTAATTTCGTCCTTTATTGTGATGAATGTTTCGTTGCTTACTAAAATGTTATCTTGAAGATGGGAATAGATTTCTTCTTCTTGCTTCGGTTCGATTTTAACGAATGATTTGTCATTATTTCCGTCCATATCTGGCATCAATAAGGTTATCAAGAAATGTGTTTACTTTTACGTTTTTGTTTAACAAAAATAAAGTGTGGTATTAATCAATAAAAAATGTTCACGGGAGTATTTATAACTGTGGCTCTCGCCCTATCGGTGCGACGTAGACAAAGCACTGGATGTGGCTCAAGTACCGCAATAGTTAAATATAGAGTTCATAACGTCCTCACTTTCGGTGGCGGCACGATGGGTATTATTTTATACTGTATTCCCCATTTAGATTAGAGCAGTACCGGTACAATGATCTTAGCCCCTGTACTGATCTTAACCCAACCCCAGGCTCGAAGTGAAGATGACAGATTTCACGGCAAGGTGGCAACGTTGCAGTCCCAGTATCAAAACACGGTTCCCGCTCAAATTTCAAACAAAAGAATGGCACGTGATTAGATCGTCTAAGGTAGGGCACCCTTACGTTACACGAAGCTAATAAAATGACTCGGGACCCAGTCGGGCAGGAACACTCAAATAAAACACTGCAATGTCTGCGAGTTTATTTATTATAAACTTATTCTGAAAAACCCGGAATTTGGATGTGGTACATTAAAAGCAAAGCAAGCAAAACCTAAAGGTGCCGCACTCTCGCAAAAGCAGACTACCAAGGCGAAAAAGAGCGCGACTTGAGAAAAACCTTGGCCTTGAATCCCAAACTATCACAAGCAAATTAAAACACCAACCACCTAAGCAGAACATGTAACACTACCTTAATTAATTAATTAATTCAAGTAACAGGGTACGTTTGAACAGTATACGTAGAGTATCACAATATGTCATGTACTTTCCTTTAATCGCGGCTAGAAGGTAACTCACTTTTTAGTTAGTCATTGGATGGTGAACCTGGTTATTTGTTAGGTTAGGGCCAGCGTCTTAGCTTGATTGCGCTCCTGTTTCACGGTTATATTGTTAGGAATTGGACCGACATATTTGCCTATTAACCCGTAGCGTAGTTAAGCTTGTTAGGGGCAACACATTCATCGCATTTATTGGTATAAGTCACCTTACTAGTTATTCATATCATTATATACCGAATAGAGTGGTGTGACGTTTGTAAAAACACGTCTGATCTATTATTCATGTTGTGACCTAACAATAGGCAGTTATGACCATACTCAGTGTGCTCGTGGGGCCCTCGATTATGCTCAGTTTCCACATAATGATATTGGTATAAAACCCAGACTTCCGGAACTACTACCTGTGCTTCGTAACACTCCCTGGACATCTGTCTCGTAACGACACAAAACTGAAGGTGGTTAAGAGATGGGTCGCCGCCCATGGGCAGGATGGCCTTTGTTACATCACTTCATCCCTAAAGTTGGAGGTTCGAGGGCCCTTTTATGCCTTAGCTCTAGAACACCTTTCTATTCTAGCGTCCGAGCTCCCTCTCACGGTGGGAAGATATGTTACATACAACAAGGCACACACATTCGCGAATGTTACGAGTCACCCTAAACTAAATACTGAGATGCCCCAACCTTAGCAATGTCCTGTGAATATGATTGTCGATACGAAGCACCCTATACATCATGTTAGTTAAGCTGAATTTATAGTTCCGTACCCGCAACGCCGTCCCGTAACGTTTGGAAATAAACCCTACTTGTTGCGCGTGAACATTTATAATTCGCGTTAACGTTGCGTTAGAACGGTTACGGTACGTAGGAAATGCCCAAATCTTATTTCTTACGGTCAATCGTTTAGACGCTACGATAAATTGTAACAATTTGTCGTTACGATCGAATCGTTACGATTTATCGTTGCGTGTGAACAGAGGATTGTAGCGATTTATTGGAATTGGAAATGGATTGGATGGTTGATGGCGGCCGGCTTCAATTTCTGCGAATCGTAGCGATAAATTGGAACGTGTAAACAATAACAGAGATTTATCGCTACGATTTGTGACTAATGTTGCCGACGTGAACCATTTTTGTATCCATTTGGGCTACTTGGACTGTCTCTAGCGCACACGTGTTACATTTTTTTTCAACTTTATTGCTAATTTACAATCTACTCGAAATAATACAGAGTAATTAGTAAATCGTATACAGCGTGTAGGATATAACTTGAGCCAGGCACCGCCCATCGACGGTTCTCTAGAATTTATAAGGTTAGATCTTCAGGCCATAGCCGGTGTAGTCTTCTGTTGTTCAGCGGTTGGGTGATTAGTACACTTATAAGTTGGTTGTTGTGAGCGGTGTTGCGGTCTTTGTATTTGATTGCATTTGATTTAACTACATCGTTTACATAGGGCATGTCTAGGTCAGTATGTAAGGTTAAGTTTGATATGTACCATGGAGCATGAACAATTCTCCGGAGAGTTTTCGACTGGAACGTTTGAAGGATCTTGGTGTTAGATGGTTTACTGCAGCCCCACAGCTCAACTTCGTAAGTCCACATAGGCTTGAGTATGGTTTTGTAAAGAAGCAATTTGTTTTCAAGAGATAACTGCGAGGATAAGTGCGAATTTCTATTAAGGAGCCAGTTCATATTTTTAAGTTTTAAGTCTAGCTGTCGTTTCTTTGCTTTAATGTGTGATTTCCATGTAAGTTTTGAGTCTAGGTGCAGGCCTAGGTATTTTATTTCTTCATGGATAGGAATGGGGTCGTTATTAATTGTTAGTTGAGGACAGATTACTCTTTTTGTTGTGAACGTAATTTGTACCGATTTGTTTGCATTAATGTTTATTTTCCACTTTTTTGCCAGTGTTGGATGAGAGTAAGGTAAGATGCTCCTGAAGTTTGGCTGATGCACTAATGGGGTTTGAGTCCGCGCACATAAGAGCGGTGTCGTCGGCAAATGTAGCCATAAACGTATCGTTTGCCTGCGGAATATCTGCAGTGAACAGAAGGTATTAAAACGGACCAAGAACGCTACCTTGCGGAACTCCTGCTCTGATCGGGCGATAGCTTCACCGTATTTAAGTTGGAAAAATCGGTCTTCAAGGTAGGATTTCAGTAATAGATAGAATTGATCTGGCAGATTCCTTTTGATCTTGTAGAGTAGGCCGTTGGCGAGTGGCGATCAAGTTTGGCCACCCAAAAAAAATATTTAGCGACACATGACTACTCATAAATCATAATCGAGATTAAGATTCTATTGTAAGCAAGCAATGTAAGCAATAAAATGCGAGTATAATTTATATTACTGGACAAGCAAAACACAAGTTGAAAAGTAAAAAAATAAAAACTGTATTAAACCGTAATCGACAATGAGATTGGAACAAGAAATCGTTACATGTAAACAGTACGCGCTCTTTCGATTTATTGAACGATAAATTGGACAATCAGATCGTTACGATTTATCGAAGCCAAGATCGTAGCGTCTAAACCGCGCTTTAGAAATGCGTGAAATGCAGGGAATGGGCGATTTTCGGGTGGTTTTTAGGGGTATTAGCAGATCAAATTACCGCGTGGCTTGGGTTGGTCAAATAAATAGGATTTAACATGTGTGTTCATGGTCTTTGTCTTGTAACCGGCTGAAGTGTAAAGTACGGCTTGTCTTGAAATATTTTGTGATACCTTAATCATTGCTGTGTACTTTTGCTTTGTTATATCAGGTGAGGTATTTGCTTTATTCAATTAATCCATAAATGTGTGTAACTTGAATGCAGATTGTAACCCTTTACTTATGTACTTACTGGATTCGATCACTTGTACCTCTTAATGTGTAACCTTTGTTGGCATTGGCAATCATGTTTCATTGTCGGTAGGGCTGTATCTGTGCTTTACATACTTGCATTGTGTACATATTTAATTTGTATTGTGCTTTTTAGTCACTCTCGATTATTTCATTGCATTTCATTATATTTGCTTATTTGGGACTGTTGAGTAATCAAGAGGGAAGTGAAGTGTGCTTGTTTAGAGGGGATCGAGTTATTCAAGTTTATACGGCCTTGGTGAATCTAACACTAACATTTTCACTCGTTCCGAACCCAACAACTTTAGCCCAGGTTTACAGGGACCCCACTGGGCCTGGGTACTCCTCCCGCCCGGCGAGGTATATTTGACATTTCTTTTGTTTTGTCCGATGTATGTGTTGTAAGGAGGCTAAGATCATCACAATACACCTAGCATTGCATGACCTACTTCACGGAAGTCGAGGTTCTACATAGGTACACCCCCGTGCACCGTGTAACTGAGTAAACGTGGTCTAAACCTGAGATCTTGTAGACTTCCACAAGCACATGGATATTAGTTAACACCTCGCATGTTGTAAATTACGTATTAGCACAGTGGTGGTTGAAAAATATCTGATTTAACAAATGGCACAATTCACATAAGTACATAAGAGTAAACTACATAAAATACTTTACCCGACACCAAAGTTGTTGAATCCTACGCACAAACACCAAAAACAAAGCTAAACTATTGATACAACTTAAAATACAATAAAGCCCACCACCAACTAGCTTTAACAAACAACAAGTGATCAGGTGACGCCAAGCACTCTCAAATCCCCAAACATCCTCCGGAAGCTACCAAAAAAAATATCGACAGGTGGTGACGGCGGTGGCTCATGTCCACAGAATCTCCAACTACTTGACCGGTTGCATCCGACGTTGAAATATACAGGGTATTTAAAGGGATATAGACATCTCGAGCTTGTGTAACAAACATGATGTATAGGGTGCTTCGTATCGACAATCAATAATTTTATTTTAATATGTGGTAATTACCGATTCCTTTGAGGTATGTACTAACTTGTTGTTTGTAACTAACAATTTTCTCCGTGAATGAAGCAGTCACGGGGGTGGTAAAAAAACCGTAGTCAAAATTGAAGTACGACACCTAATTCCGTGATTGTCTTCGACATCCAACTGTAGGCTCGAAACCCCGAAACCAGAGGCGGGCTACCCATCTTGCAGGAGCGGGATTACGCTAATCAAAGCTCTTCAGTTTAGAATCTATGTGCGATAAATGAGTGGCGATTCAATAATTTCCACATATCTTGTTTTTAGTTAAATTTGCCTACAAGGCCATGTAATTTTCCATCGTGCTTTTAACAAAAGGACTTTGTGCACCAAAGATGAGTCACATTCTGTCTATTTCACCCTTTCTTCCTGGTACCTGGTTACCTGACCCATAATTCCCAAAACATGTTTTTAACCTGTATGTTACCTCTTGAAGTTTACCTGCTACTTTTTGTGATGTTATAATTTTATGTTACGCATTCACATCATTACAAACAATTAATTTTACAACACAATTTGATATTAATTTGAGGACTGGTTTTTTTATTGGTAAGTTCTTTTTTCCCAGCCTATTTCTATTTTGATTCAGTGAACTACCATTTTCAAAGTTTATTTTTGCAATGTAATTTATTTCGACTTAAATTTCCGAGCTTTCACAATCTTAATAATTGCGATCATTATTAAACAAACTTTTCACAATTTGAGTGTTTTATTTTACGTTCCTTCCCTACTGTGCTTCAGGTCAAAGCGTTGTCTACAACTAACGTAAGGGGGCCCTGCCTTAGATGTTCGATCACGTGCCACTTTTCAGTCAGTGTGTGTTAAGATGTCCGTTTTCAAAATTTCAAACAAGTACCGTTGACGTATATAGAGACACCGCTGGAAAATACGTTCACTTTGAAACAATGCAGACTGTCCAACAATGTAATAATTTCAATGTCTGCATTGCTTGTATGAAGGAAGTATTTTTGTTCAGTTCATGCAGGTTCATTTTTAGCGCTGTAGTGTACTTAAACCCCCCCAGGTTCTACGCTAACTTCACACCCCAAGAACACAGAAATAAAATCAACCCGGCAACGTTTAACAAGTTAAAAAGTAATCGTAAACGATTTACATAAAGCGCATTTCCACTTGCATTCATTTCCCATTTATAAGATGCAACTTCTGATAAAATCGTAAAAATCCGGCCACAAATATGAAAGATAGCGTTGCACATGGGCAATCCATTTTTGACGTGTTACTTCAATTTCAGTTTATGAGAAATGCGCAAAAGAAAATTTTGAGACTGGCGCTCGATGATCCTTTATCCCAAGTGCCTATGTATCAAATTTCATTTAAATTCTTCCATAAATAAAAAGGTTGGCGCTGCGCATGCGCAAAACCAAATTTTGAAATTGGCGTTTGATTTTCCTTTATCCCAAGTGCCTATGTATCAAATTTCGTTTAAATTCTTCCATAAATCTTGGCACATGCGCAAAACCAAATTTTGAAAAAAGTTGGCACTGCGCATGCGCAAAACCAAATTTTGAAATTGGCGTTTGATTTTCCTTTATTCCAAGTGCCTATGTATCAAATTTTATTCAAATACTTTTATAAGTAATAAAGTTTGCAATTCGGTTTATAAATGGTCGAGATGCGAATAGGGCACTGTGAATTCGATTCAACTTTTGGCATTGCGTATAAATTATATGGCTAAAGCTATGCGAATTTCATGCAATTCAGTTCATAGATGGACAGACAGACAAAGGAACAGACGGACAGACCAGCATGCAGACGACAGATAGCAATGCAAAATTATAAACGATCTCTAGGATCGTTAATAAACGGCAAAAGTGTAAAATTATGGAACATGTAAAAAACGGTTTTTGTTTTTTTTACAATAACTTTTTTTGTAAGCGGTACAGAAAAAATTCCTTCCTTGGTACAAGACTCGACACCATAACGAACCAAATAGCGAAAAAAGTAGAACAATAGCTCTTAAGATAAAGAACTAGTAGCGTCGCAAAACGAGCGGACGGACGGACGGACGGACAAAGTGGCCACAATAGCGCTTTTTTTTTTATTTTTGTGAAAATGCGCTAAAAATGCCCCCCGAATGACTATTCCCTCCAAAACTAAACAAGAACCCCGCTTAAATTTGAAAAGTGGCACTTGATCAAACATCTAAGGCAGGGCCCCCTTACGTTAGTTGTAAACAACGCTATGACCTGAAGCACAGTGGGGAAGGAACGTAAAATAAAATACTGAAATTGTGAAAAGTTTGTTTAATAATGGGTTTTTTATTGGTAAGTTCTTTTTTCCCAGCCTATTTCTATTTTTATTCGGTGAACTACCATTTTCAAAGTTTATTTTTGCAATGTAATTTATTTCGACTTAAATTTCCGAGCTTTTACAATCTATTAATAATTGCGATCATTATTAAACAAACTTGTCACAATTTCAGGGTTTTATTTTTCGTTCCTTCCCTTTAAGCGGGACCTTGTTTAGTTTTGGTGGGAATAGTCATTCGGGTGGCCATTTTTAAACGTTGCCGGGTTGACTTTATTTCCGTGTTCTTGTAGTGTGAAGTTAGCGTAGCACCTGGGGGTTAAGTACACTAAAGGTGTAAAGGAGAACGACAGATACAAACAGGGAACCGATAAATATGAGTGAAAATATTGGGAAGGAAGCATACGTTAAGCGATTGTACGAAATGTCGAAACTGCGCTAGTCGTTTTTGCAGAGGACGTTGTGAATTTTCAAGTTTAACGTGTCCACTGAGTGGATCCAGAAGAAATAAATTAAGCCAAGAGCGAGAAATCATAACCATTAAACCAGCTTCGCGTTGCGGCCTAAGATTTTCGCAACATTTCCAAGAAAAACGAGAGAACGTTGAACATTTTCCGCGAAGCCACGCCCGTCAGGATTTTGTAACCGGTCCGTGTCGTTACACCTACATTGGGAACAATTAATGAAATGATTATCAGATTATCCTCGTGTCCATTCCGTTTGATTTTTTGATTTTTTTAGTATTTTTAGCCATAGTGTCAAAACCGGCCCCCTGACGGAGAAGGATTCAACTAAATTAATTATATTTTGGTTGATTCTCATTGCCCAAGAAATGCTCCTTTCTAAGATACCAAATTTGTTACAATCGGTCAAACGGTTAAGAAGTTAAAGCAGGTTATTGCAAAAACAATTGAACGTCCCGCGTTGTGAAAAATTAATGTTTAGTTTATTATGGGAAATTTAAAGAAAATGCAATTTTAAAATTTAAGATAGCAGTAACGCCCTCTAGTGGTCATTTTTAGAACTTGAAAATATTTTCCAGCGATTCTTCATAACCGATTTACCCAAAAATTTTTTTTACCCCTAAGTCATATGACGAACGGTTCTCGATATATGGCCGAGGAACAGTCTTATTGGGTCACCCGGTACGTAAGAAAAGACAAGAAAAAATAAAATGTGTTTCGTACAGAACAATGCAATACCTGGAAAACCTTTTATGGAGAAAAAACCTGGCATAACCCACACAAATACAAAGAAAATCCAAAAGAGAAAAATATACAAATCAAACATTAACTCGTAAAATAATAAATTATATGTACAAAAAAAAACATCAAAAGCATATCTGTACTCCAGCATTGACGTCACTTAATTTAGCGCGAGAAGTACATGTGAAATTGCCAGTAGTAAGTACTTATATTAAGGTCTATTATCGCACAAGAAGGAATTTTAACTAAAGAACATCTTTTTTGTTGCCACGAGCACAAGATGAAGGACCAACATACACAGCAAATAATCAAGTTGTATAAGGTACTTCCTGCAGGGAATATAGTTAAGCAATTCATACAGAGAAACATAAAGTTAGAGAACCCCCTTCTCGTATTGCTTACGCACCGCTCGGCAGCGGCCACGAGATAAGAAAGGAATCGAGCTGCATGTAGTTCTCCCTCCAAGGAATTGTTATTTGGTTAGTAGTAATCGAAGGCAAACGGTATTAGAAGCATATGAGAAGCGACAAAAACTTCGTTACGAATTAATTAAAAATGTAATTGACGCAACTGTCACAAGCGTTCTCTTACAGATATAGGTACAGAATGTTAGGCAAGAGAATCGCGATTAAAATCTCTTCCGTAAATACCAAAAGTCATCAGACGATTTTGAGGTTTCTTTAAGAGATACGTTCGACGAACACGTTTATTACCCAGTATACTTCTCCACTCAAAGTCGTCAACGTGGATCGGTTCTATGTTACTGAGCAGAGAGTTCGGGAACTGGAACTTGTTAGGGTCCTCATCGAACTCCGCCTCTATGACGATTTTCTTGAAAGTTGTCGGCCACGAAACGGTGTTATAGTCTCGAAAACTGAAATGAAAGTAGCGCTCACCCCATCAAGGAGATCGGTGTAGACTCACCGTTTGCCACATGAACTCAATGAGTCGTTAAGACACGCAACGACCGCGCAAACTTCGATGCCTCCGTTAGAGACCCTCGCGAATGTTCGCGTCCCACTGAAAGCCACCATATGGTATTGGTAGTGTTTTTTGTCGTCGTTCACCGGCTTCGCCTGCCATTCGAGCTCTAGTTGAAAGTGGCAACAAAACTGATGGGTCTCATTGGCGCCACTGCACACGCTGGTATCTACGTTGTTGTTACCTCGCAGCACCAACTTCGACGTGTAAGCTGAATAGGTAGGGACATAGAGTAAATACAATAAGAATTCCAGACGCTTATTAATTTATGGCCACCTTTCACACACCTCATAAGTAGATGTAAGCGTGGGAAAATTACAGTGACTTTATATTTATAGGGCCTACATGATGTGGGGTCGGCGACATCTGGGCGCCATCCCCGAGCGTGGTTTACTAACTTCCTATCTTCTTCTGTAGGAAAAACTCAAGAATCACCACGTTAGTAAACCAGGCTCGGGGATGGCGCCCGGATGTCACCGACCCCACATCATGTAGCCCCGCCCCTAAAGAATTGTTAATTATGCGGCCCGGTAGGTCCAGCTAGGCCGCCGGCCAAAGTGAGATTAAGAACCCCCGTTTTACAAATAAATTTGCAAAAATTGCGTTAAAAAGAGATAATTACAAAAAAAGTTAAATCACTGTTTGTTAATTACTTTTTTAACTTGTTGTCTACCAACCTAACCCACTACACATTTACAAATACCCATGCCCGTACCCGGACTCGAACCAGAGACCCTTAGTACCGCAGTCCAGTTTCAACTCAACTGCGACACACGGGCGGGCTTAAGAATGATGTTATTGTTTGTAAAAACATCCAATCACATGTCTTAACAACATTGTTAGCTAGCAACATAATTAAGTATGCTGCATGGCTTTATAATACGGGCCGATAATCATTCTGAAGTTAACAATTTTGTGGTTTTCCCTGTATTTCTTACCCGAGCGAAAATTTTTATTTTACCGTTTTAAAGTTTAAAAGGAGCACATGCTCAAAAGTAAGTTAAAACCAACAACTTTTTTTAAAATGAAAATACATTTTTATTTTCTTTTTGGAATTTTACATAGCGTTTCATGCACAGGGTGTCTCATTTTCGACACTTTTATAGGCGTTATGGGCTCTTTTTGGGTCAAACTTGCAATGGTAAAATCAAAATTTGCGCATTTTTGCTTCAGAGATACGAAGATAAATCAAACAATTTGTCAGAATGACCGTAAAAACAGAAACAAAAAAAATGTTTCTTGAAAATTATTGATAAATAATCTGCCGTTTTCAAAATAAATAATTATACAGTACTATCGGGTAAAAAAGTTATTGGATCTAACTTAATTTTATTTAAATGGCATACCCTGTATATTTCAATCTAAATATAGCATATTAAATTCTGTTTTTTAAATATAACACTGAAAAAATTCAATATCGATTCAAAAAGGTTAAAAAAAGATTTCTTAAAAATTCAAAAATTCGTTTGTAGTAATTTCTAATTTTTTCAGTGTGAGAAAAAAGAGCGATAGTTCATAGAAAACAGTTCCTTTTGTTGAGACCTGAATGGGTAAAACGTGTGGTTGCCCCCCCCCCTCACCTTTCCCGTTTTCAAAAGTTTTACTTGCCACTAAAGGCATGCGCATGTAAAATGGTATTAGACTCTATTAGTGTGACGTCAAATTTGAGCGGGAAATTCGAAATGCTGGACTTGGCTGTTTCACTGTCGAAGATATTGACCCCTCGTTGGGCGTTTGTTGAACGGTATTTCGGTTGAAATTGCATTTATGTCTTAAAACGTAGAGAAAACTTTTAATGAAATTCTAAAGAGTCTAAAGTGTGAGAGTGAAGGAACTATAGGTAAAATAACAAGTTTTCCGTTGCACGTCATTACTGGAATAATTTCACATACCAACCTAAATATTTAAATGGGATGTGTTGTTATAAGTTAAAAACAGTTTATTTGAAATTATACGGTTGGTACAGAAATGCGACGTTGGCGCGACTCTGTACTATGCATTTAAGGTTATGTTGCTATCTGTCACCCATTCTGTCACCTTGCGCGTGCTTCGAATCGTCTAGTTTATCGTAGTTTCGTGCCTTTTTATCAAGCCTCTCAATTCCACAAACCAAACTGTTCTTTTCAGAACAACTTTTTGTCATACTGTGAGGTGTTATTTATTACGATGATGAAGAATTTGGGTAGCACTGCTAAAAAAATGGTAGCATCTTATTTAATTCTGTATTTTGAACAAGAGCGTGACCATGGAGGCCCCTTGTTACCTTTGCAGGCAGTAAGAGAGGTAACAAAAGCATAATTTTTACATTAGGTACCTATTCTACTAAGTATAATTATCGTAGAGAGTGGCACAAGCTTTAAGTATCAGTATCCCCACGGTCAGTACCATATCAGCAGCAGTGAAGAAGAATGAAGTGTTGACGTCGCCTTTAAAGAATCGTCCTCGCCTTAAGCCTGTGACAGATGTATCTAATTTGAACGTCGATGGTATTAGAAACACAATTTATGAAATGTACGAAAACAGTAAGTTGATCACACTTTGTTTCACAGTTTGTGTAATCAGAGTTGCAGAAGTGCATGTTACATTGGCATCTGTGCATGAACAGCTTCGTGAAAAAGTCATTTTTCATGGTTCATTGGCATCATTGCGAACAGTGCTAAAAGAAATTGGATTTAAATGGAGAAAAGACGAGCCCAGGCGAGGTCTAATGGAACTACCCCATGTGGCAAGTAAAAGAATTCGTTTTCTGCGCCAATACAAAGATTTCAAGGAAAAAGATTTGTACCAATTTTTTTTTCTGGATGAAACGTGGATATTCCAAAATGGCACTATACAACGCTCATGGCAAGATAGTAATGAAAGAAGTGTGAAAACTATCAAAACTGATGGAAAGCGGTTGGTTTATTATTAATAGTGGTAACAATAATTATAGCAAAAAATATGTTACAGACAAATAATTCTGCATGCTGGAAATGAGAAAGGATTCATACCTGGTGCAAATTTAATATTTGCATCAAAAACTTCAAGTGGTGATTATCACGGAGAAATGAACCAGACGAATTTCTTACATTGGTTTCAAAATCAATTGCTTCCAAATTTAAGTGAACCGTCTGTCATTAGTTTCCAGAATTAAACCAGAAAAAACATATTTTGTTGACCAATTAGCGGAACAATATGGTCATAAAGTGTTGCGCCTTCCACCCTACCATTGTATTTTTAACCGTATAGAGTTAATATGGGGTATAACAAAAACTTATTATAATAAACATATTGCTAGAGATGGGAGAACAGAGGCTGATTGTTTAAATATGTGGCAAGAAGCAGTTAATGTCGTGACACCAGATATGTGGAAAAATTCAATCAAACACACTGAAGGTGAAATAATGAAATGGTATGAAAGAGAAAAATTGTTAGATATGCAAGATATACTGCCAATTATAATAAATTTAGGGGAAGACAGTGACACAGAAGATTCTTGTTAATTTGCAAATTAAGTAATTTGTATTTATTTAATTGTAAGATTATAAAATAATTACATAAAAGTGACTTATTACTGCAAAATTGTAAGCAATTGATAATCCCCTGGCTTTGATGGTGAAGTATGACATGTAAATTGTGAAGCCTTTAAACCATGTAGAAAAGATAATTAATGAATTTATCGAAATTGCTGT